CCAGAGCTGGACTGACAGTCAGTGACAAGAGGTCTTAGGGGGTGATGAATCCTCCCCAGAGCCTCTACATTATTGAAGTGGTCTGCGATCATCTTGACAGAGAACAGAACAAAAGACAAAGAAAAAGACTCTGAAAGGCTGTTTCAGGCTGTTTTCGAGAATAAAGGTGCTCACAGCAAACAATGATGTTTAAGCTCTTTAGACAGTGCCTGCCTTTTATTCTGCATGACTATTTAGACTTTCTCCTGTTGCACAGGGACATGCAAGAAAAGGAATCAAGATTTCCATGTTAAACAAAACAGAACACGCTTTCAGTTTCAGCATAGAAGCAAAAAACAGAATGCCAGTTTATTGAAAGTGTAAAAAAAAGACTTGTTTAAGGGTTCATTTGCTGTGAGTGTTTTTTTTCTAGGCTAACAATCTCAGTTGCTGTGACGTGTGCTGCAGTGTGATTTCTGCTCATGCTTGAGGTAAATCAGGCCTGAGCTCAGAATTCTCTGTCAGCTCTGACGCTATTCTGACGTGATTCGTGTGCATGTGTTTGCCACCGTGTCCAGTAGAATTGATTTTGTGCACTCATGACCATGAACACTGATTACTTCCATGGTCTATGTCTATTTGTGTGTTAATGAGTCATTCCAAAGTCCGGCCATCAATCAACTAATGCCTCGCTGATATTGGCAGCAGAAAAGATATGCCTTTTCTCCACTCATTTTGAATTTCACCATGCCTTATTTATTCTACTTTTATTCTCAATTTTTGGGGCAATTGTCATTTCATTTCACAATTTTCTCAGTTTTTGTTTATTCAATTCCAACCTCTTTGACAAGTTTCTCCGATATCTCCCCTCTTTGCCGTTTGATTCCACTGTGAGGTCCATAAACGTTGGTTTTGATGCAATAACAAATATTCTTACAACTAAGAAAGTGTTTTTGGTGACCTGATAGTTAATTGGCATTTCTCTGCTGGGTAGATGTTTCTGTTTTGGAGTACATATTGAAATATTGCAGTGGGAGTAATTCTATGTAGTTTTAGGCTTTCTTAATTTCACGCCTGCAATACCACAGAAAAGATGAGGATCAGGTGGTCTACTCTGTGTTATACCCCTCGTCTCTTATCTTTAAAGAGTCTGACCATGCTTACATTTGGTATTTTAGGAATTCAGCTCATTATACTGTACATGTTTAACATAATTTCTTCCCTTCCATCTTGCTTTTCTCTTTTTGTTTTCTCCCCCCATGTTTCCCCTTCCGGGAGACTGGAGTGACTCTCCTGTTGCCCACTCCCTTCCTATCTCTTCATCATGCCCTTGTGACTGATACAAGAATTCTGCCTGGAGCTCCAGATTACATTTGTACAGATGGCTGGAAACACTCACACACATGCGTACGCACACACACAGGCAGGTTTGCATTAACACAGCTGGCTGGATTCACTGTAGGTGCCCTAGTTATATATAGAAAATAGGGCAGTGACTGTGGTTGTTATTAATTTTTTGCATGTTTATCTTTAGACACTTTTTTGCAAATGTAAGAAATGTCACATTCCCAGAGGCTGACATGTATCGTGTGTGTGTGTGCGTTCCGCAAGAAAATGAAACGAAACAATACAAACAAAAACAAAACCCCAGCACTTCATTTGGAATGTGTAGTTTTCATTAATGATGAACATGGTACATGTTTAGGATTAACTTTAGGATTATTGTCATTTGTTGGAAATACATCACCGATTTTGCTGGTATGGTCTCGTTTGGGGATAAAATGGAGGAAAACCTGCGTGGAATAAAAATGTATTCTATGACAGTAAGCCCAACATGATCTACTTCTGTTTAAAAATTCACAAATAATAGGCCTTTGATTTTGATCAAATGATCATGCTGCAGCCATGAAAACTACAGCTTTGTGGCATTTATAAAACAAACAACAACAAAAAACCTACTTGAACAGCGTGTTAGAAATGTATTAGAAAATGTTTATATTTTGACTCAGTGGGTGATTAACTGCTGCTGGTAAAAAGCGAGGCTGCCCAAGTCTTCAGCATTATTTTTAATCACTTCATTTCATGCTGCATGCCAGAGTCAGATTTTAAAATGACTTTACAGTTCATCTTACACAAGACCACAGCCCAAACACCCTATCTCATTTAATGTTATGAGACCTCATCTCTGAGGTCTCATAACTGTTTTGTCAGCGACCAAACTGAAAGTTTGAAAAGGAGATTTTTTATAACATTTTGGAATGAGCTTCTCAAGCCTGCTAAACATTTTAGTCTGGCTTCACAGTATCATCAAAACAATACATTTAGTATACCTTATATATATTTCAGTGTTGTGCGTTTTTCAGATATAATGTACACTTTTAAAACTTTTTTGTAGTAACCTTTTAAAATTGTCTGTATTGTATGTCTTGTTAAAAAAAGCATTTTGAAATGCATTTATGTTTGAAATGTGGCAGGTAAATAAACTTGTACTGCCAAAGTCACAACAAAAGGAATAAAAAACCATATGACGACTGAAAAATGTCATACACATAGTATAAACACATAAAAGTCCAGTTCATATTACACAGCGTTATAAGTAGAAGTATTTTTTGGGCTGTTGTCACATTGGTTGATTCTGTAACCAGAACAGACCAACAAGTGTAAACCAACCGAATGCCTCTGATCACATCTGCCTGTTATAGGTGGTCTACAGTGTTCGTTGTGATTGTGTCAAATGTGCCGTGACTTTCTAATCATACGTCAAGCTGGACAAACATGTAAAAGCAGGATAACCATAAACTTCACACGCAAGCGTGCACCCACACATGGAGGAAACACAACTCAGATACACACAAAGAACACACCACCCAGACAATAATGCACCTTTTTTATATTGAGGATAAACTGGTCTGGAATAAACAAAAAAGTATCATAATGTTTACTGACAGCAGGTTTTTTGTTTTTAGGTTTAACTTTTGGTTAATTTTTTTTCAGTCAGTTGCTGTTATACTACAAAGTATTTCTGTTTGAACAGATTCTCTCTGCTATTCAAGGGAGAATTTGCCTCTACATACTTGTGTCTCAAAGCAGTGTTTTTTCTCTCAGAAAAACACTTTGAAAAACTTTAGAAAAATTAAAGCTTGTACTAACATTACAAGCCACTAGAAGATATAAATTTGGTGTCAGGATTAAAGTGTAAACAGCCCCAGTGATTGAGAATCATAACCGAATGCTTTACGCTTGGAGTTCAGTAATGTCGTGTGTTCCAGAGGCTGTGTTTGATACATGTATAAACTCACACACAGCTGGAAAACATCTGGAATGTACTGGTCAGATAGATGTGACACAGTCTTTGTCAACACTGTTAATCAAGCTTTAGATTAAACCGTGTTAATGTTTTTATATTATTTTCAAAAATTTTTCTTTAAACTGAAATAACCAAAATAATACTTTTGAATAAAATATTGTGCAAAAAAATTAAATAGAAATATGAATATATTTTTGGAACCTAACTCTAAAATACTCAGAATGTCAAAGTGGTGTCTTCCAGTGCTGTATTTAGACACAGCAAAAAGAAAGAAAGGCTAAACAATATCTGCTGGCATCTTAAGTTGCAGGTTTCCTAGCAGATACCACACATTTTCAAACAGTTTAAGGTTAAGACATTAACTATCCCACTGTTGACTTTTTAGGGTCATTATTCTGTTGGAACAATCAACATTTTCCCACTCATTTCTTTAACTCTTTTGTGTTTTTTAATCTCAGCATGAAATTGGTTTGACATTCTTGGAATTGAATACTTCCTCTCTTTTCTCGAAACAATGTCTCAGGCTCCTCTAAACAGTCTGGTGATGTTTAGAACATCAGTGGGCATTAGCATTAGTGGAGCATGCTCTGAAGTGTAGATGGTGATGCTGCTTCTAGAACATATCATATGTTTCCTCAATAATTTTTGGGCTGTTCTTGACCATAAAAATCAACAACCGTTTCTAGATGTTACACCAGGTGTAGAAATAAAGTTAACATCACCACTAACTCCCAAATATTCATTCAAAATGGTCACTTTGATAACAGGCGTTTTAAAATGGCAAACGTTCGACTGTTGGACAAAATGCTCTCCATGTAGAAAATGTGTTACGCCGAACCTCACAAACATTATTCATCTTCACCAAGCACTTTTTTCTCCATGTCACATTTTGAAGAAAAAATATTTACATATATTTGGTGTCCTCTGTGAAATCACATGTAGCTCCTGTCAGACCCTAGTCTGTAAAAAGTGCCTGTAAAAAGAGGTGAGACACTGGTCCTCAGATGGAGACGGTGACAACGTAATCTTTCTGTTACAGCTCACATTTTTCTCTATACTTACTCATCGACACATACTTGAATCATAGCACCTTTGCTTAGACATTCCCTCCATACTTGTCTATATTATCAATAAACAAAACAAAGGTCTCTGTAATGCCATATGGACAGTTTGTCGTGCCCTTAATACCCAGAATTCCCTTTGCCCCAGATGCGTTAAAGACTGCATAATTCAGAGACATTTATCATCACACAGTCTTAGAGACAATAGGGATTTCATTAGGGATATGACACAATATCATTAAGATTTATAAATAATGGAGCATTCTCCCCATCTAAGAGATCAAATTGAAACAAACATTCTTTCGAGATCTCACAAATCAGGATCCAACAGATCTTTTTCAAAGAAAATGTAATTCATTTCAGAAATAGAAATACCAAAACATGAAATTGAAATTTTACAAATAGTTTTTGTTTTAAATCTGAAAATAAAAAATAAATTAAACAAAAACACTTAAAAGGAAAAAAAAGTTTTGACTGGAAGAATTCATTTAGAAAAATTACTGTTATGTAAAAATAAATAAATACATAAATAAAACTATTTCTCATTGTTTCAACATTTTTTCCTGTTTCAAATGTTTATGCTCAGGTTTGGATTTTTCATTTGAATTTTTCAAAATGTTTCTAGGAGGCGAGAGGCAGCACGAAAGAGGTTGTCATGGAAACGTGTGTGTATCCCTCTGTCTCTGCGTAGACTCGGCCTTAATTTGGAAGCTCTCCCAATAGGCAGGATCTTCTTCGGTCAGAGGGGAGGCCGAGGCGATGAGTTCACTGAACGACAACAGCGCAAATGTGGTGGGAGGAGGAAGAGATAAATGAAGAGGCTGAGAGGAAATTAAAAGAAAGAGGAGATTATAGAGTGACACTGTGATCCTTTATAGTACTGTGTTTTGTGATTTAATATCAAATTTGAAAGTCATTTGACTAAAAATTGAATAAAGGAGATTTGAATAAAAACAGATTGTTTAGCCTGCAAAAAATTCAAATCACTATCCAAACACTGTCAGACACTGACAAATCCTCATTATCTCTGATTATTTGGTGAATGTAGATCAGCATTTGGTAGTCTGACTTAATATCATAAAAGAATAAAATAAAAAACATGGCTGCAAACACCAAAAAGGAAACCACGCAGTACCCCAGGTTACAGTTGGCATGGCAACTGATCTTGGCAGTGGCATGCTTGTTATCATCATCTGAGAAAATATGTGTAATCTTACAACAACACAAACTGGTGATCAAAAAGCACAATTTTCAAATTAAAAAGTAAATTCATGAAAAAAATAAAATAAATAACTAAAACACTGTGTCATATAAAGCCTATAAAGGGCAAAACTGCTCCAGCTCCTTAGAGATACATGTATCTGTTGGTGTGTCTTTTAAGCATCTTTAGTTTTAGTTATTCTTTTTTTTTCATTGAGAAAAAATACTTTTCTTCTGGTCATTTGTCCTTTGCAGCTCTCAAAGGGTTAACTTTGTTTCCACTCTGATTAAACCTCTTTTACTTCCTCACACATGCAATAATCTTTCAAATTTCATTAATAACACAAAGGTTCTACAAGAGCTAGTCAAAGTTTATGAATTCATAAGGAGCAACTGTTATATACATGTACTGTTGAAAACCATTCTGCCTTTGAATCAGAAAATAATCAGTTCTATGGAGATTCTCTAATTTCTGAAATGGAGCACGCATGCAAAAACAAAAATGTCATGTGTCCTTACATCAGCGTCTGGTTTGTCTGCTTGTCCAAGTGCTACTGCAACATGATGGTCAGCGTCCAACAGGCTCTCCTGTGAAACCACACACACAAATACACACACAATCAGCACCCAAACATGCATAACCTGGTTCTGAAAGGCCTGGATGTGTAAGTGAGAAGGGCTGTCCGTCTCTCAGCGTTAGCCCTGTGATTGACTGTGTAGGGCCTCCTCTGCCTCTCTTCTCTGACCATTTAAAGGATAAGCAGAGGTAGCTGATGGATGGATGGATGCCTCTGTCTACAAAGTGTCAGAAAAAATACCCATCATACTCTTCAAGAGCCTGAGGCGACATCTCGAATGTCAGACAATAGAAAAATAAAATCAGACCGTATCCGATTTACAATAGATGTTCAAATTCCAGACTTACATATCTGGAAATTATGTCATAAAACTGCTGGTTTGCTTGAGAAAAAAGGCTTGAAAAAAACAACAGATTATCCCATTACTTCCACATTAACAGGAAGTACACTTCCTGTTTCCATTTCAAAGCAAACTAAAAGGCATTTAAGAATGAACTGAACTACACATTTAATTCACTGTTTCTACAGGGACAACATATCTGCTGTTTGGAAGCTATGGTCATTTTTAGGACTGCATTTCCCTTGTGGGAAAAGATAAAACACAAAAACAGCATTAGGCTTCTGCAACCCCGAGTGGGATAATGGAGAGGAGAGGTAATATATCTGGCTTAAAAAAAAAAACACTAAAAAACACGGTGATAACCTTTTAGCAGAGACTTGTTCATCTCTGCAACATCGGACAGTGGGATGAGAAGGAGCAGAGGAGAAACCAAAGGGAACAGGCAGGGGACAATGAAGGAGGAAGATGAAGTGAGGAATGGAGGGAAAGACCACTGGGGAAATAAAAGGCATAACCTGGAGTGCAATGGTAAGGAGGCTTAGGAAATATAAATGGTAGACAAGCAATGGTGATTCTGTTTCTGTGAAAGAGAAGGAAAGTCGTCTCATCCTGACATGTTGCACCTTATTAAATCACTCTGTGTACATTTCTTGTGTGTGTGCAGATGATTTCCATCCATTCATTCATTCGTCATCCAAACCGCCTTTTCCAATAGGGTTGCGGGGGGTTGGGGAGTGTATCCCACCTGATATTTCCTTAATGTACTTTTGAAAGCTTATATATAATACCACATCCCACTTTTTTTAGCATTTTTAAACAATCCCATACTTTATCATTTTGTAATGATTTAAACCTTGGATGTTTTGGGAAGCACTGCATCATGGCTGCTCGTGGCTATATCTGGCCAGACTTACTTCAAATACCCAGTCTTCTTCCTCTTCCTCATCAAGATGCATCCGAGTCTGGCGCAGCACCTTGCCCTGCATCAGCACTTCAGGAGAAAGGTGAAACTCCACCCTCTGCAGGTTGAAGCCCAGACCGGTGCCGATGGCCTTAATGAAGCTCTCCTTCAGAGCCTGGGAGCAAAGAGAGCAAACCTGATCAGCTACATGTAGAAAATTCTTACAGGCAACCAAAAACCAAATACAGGAAGCTTGTTTGTCAGGAAACGTTGGGAAGAACAATCTGTGTGCATGCGTTGTATAATTTGGCTAAATGGCACAATCACAGCAGATGGTCATCTGAGCACACATGTTAAGGAGTTTACACAAAAGAGAGGGCTTCACATGTAGTGTGCATGTATGTGTGTGTGTGTGTGTGCGTTTCCAGCCAAGTCAGTCCTGTTCAACAGCCAATAAGCCACAATAACATTATTACAGGGCTAATCCCTATGGCAACCGTTGAGCTCTGCCATTAGTCAACAGCGTGGTGGTGATATCAGAGCTTGACGTCTCTGTGCCACCCTCTCAATCTCACAGCATCTTTACTTAGATCCACTGTTGCTTTCGCTGGCCATCTGTGTGTGAGTGTGTCTGCAAGAAGGAAAATGAGATGATAAAAGTAAAAAGGCAAGATGTTGTAACAATAAAAATGAAGACAGGGGTTGTTAAGTGTCTGTGAAAAGGATGTGCAGATATCTGTTATATGGTGGGGTCAGGATGTGACAAAAGGCAGAAACTGGGATACAAAAACAAGAGTCGACAAATGTGTGTTTATGCCAAAGGACGTATATTTCCTTCTATCTCTTTTTCTCACTCACACACAGACAGACAACACACGCACACACACACACACATAAACACCCCCTGCAAGGCCTAGCAGCAATGCAATGTGATGACAGGGTCATATGGTTGTCATGGTTACCCAGTGGCGGTAGAACGCGACGAGCTGCTGGTGCTCCGAGCCGACCGATTGGATGGTGCTCGACTCGTACTCTGTAAACTGACGAGTCATGATGCGGAAAAACTCTGGCACAGAACTGCTACCTGAAGAAGGGGTGTGGTGAGAGGTGTGAGGACAGAGGGAAAGAAGGATGAACAGGGGGAAATATCCAAAACTACATAAATGATCAGAACCCCTGAACTTTGAATATTGTGTTCACACCACACCAGTCATTCACACCAACTTAAGGCTTTCACATACATACATACATACATACATACATACATACATACATACATACA